TCTGTTCCTTCACCTCTCTCTCTCTGTCTCTCTCCTTTCTCTCTCTCCTCTCTCTCTCTCTCTGTGTCTCTCTCTCTCCTCTCTCTGTGTCTCTCTCTCTCTCCCCTCTCTCTCTCCCCCCTTCTCTTTCTTTCTCTCTCCTCTCTCTCTCCTCTCCCTCTCTTTCTCTCTCCTCTCATTTTCTCTCCCTCTGTCTCTCTGTTCCTTCACTTCTCTCTTGGTGCCTGCACATTTCTTTTTTCACAGCCCGGGGTCTGTACGTGTGTTTGCTTCATTTGCTTTGCATTATTTCCTATGATTCCTTCCAGATTTCTTTGCCTTTATTCTGTTCATCCTGTTTTCTGGCATTGCTGGGTTCCATGACATCAGCAGGCACCAGAGACGCTGGCCGGCTCTTGGAGAAGGAGGATTGTTTTCAGTTCTTCACAATTACAGATAATGCTGTTGTATATCTCTTCGGACAAATAGTCCTTTTCTTCTCGTGGACAATGATACTCTTAGGGCATGCTGCCCAGGATGGCGTCAGTGGGTCAGAGGGGACGTGAGGATAAGTTCCCTGACGCTTGGAGATGTGCCACAGTGGGGGGGGGTGCCCCTGGAGCCGGGGATCCTCCTCAGCAGAGGCCACTGAATGAAGCCCGATGCCCCCTTGTCCTGCGGTGGCCTGGGTCCTTTCCTTGTCTTGGTGAGGCCCCAGGGCTGCCCATGTGCCCAGCCTGACTTGAGCTGCTGTGTGGGGGTCTCAGATTGGAGGCAGCCAGCCTCTCTGTCGGCGTGAGAGGAGGCCAGCACCCAGGCCCGGCAGGGCCATCCCCTTTTCTCTCTCTCAGCCTCCAGCCTAGTTGCAGCCTTTCTCACTCCCCCCTGGACTGTTGTAGTGACCTTTGCTTGATCTGCTCCCCGTCAGCCTTCCCTCTCCAACCCCGGCACCAGCGAGGTCAAGCTCAAGTAGAAAACCACCAATTAATGTCAGTCGGGCTGTACTGTGTTTTTAGTGATTCTGTTAAACACTTTCTGGTTACGTCATAATCTGGTTTTGCATCCCGGCAGTGGCCCGTGGGTTCATCCCCTGCTGTCCTAAGCCCAGACCAAGTCACTGCCCTACTCAAGAAGGTTCCGAGGTTCCCTGTTACCTCCAGGGGAGACTCCATGCCCTTTGTTTGGCTCCTGAGTCCTTCGCAGTTAAGCTCCAGCCCACTTTTCAGAGCTTATTGCGTCTTATTCTCCTTCATGTGCTCTGGATCCAACCAGACCAGTCCACTGCACTTCCTGTTTCAACATTCCAATCTCTGGCCACTGTACCTTTGCCCAGGATGTGCCCCTTTCCTGACATACCCTTCCCTCTCCCTCTGCCTCTCAGAGGTCCTGGCTCTTCAAGGCTTCCTTGACGTTCATCTTCTAGCAGGAGGCTCCACCTTCCTGCTCTCCCTCCTGGACCTTAGCACCATGTCTGGCACACAGTCAGTGCTTAATAAACGCTTATGGGCTGGGCCGCCCTCCCAGCATTCCCCGGGGTCTCCTTTGGCGTGCACGTCTCTGTGTCCAGCTCTCCCCTGGAAGGACAGAAATTCCTGGAGCTTGGGGCCTCCTCGGCCTTGTCTTGGGGGCTCCAGGCCCTCCCTGGGAGGAGGCCCGGGCAGTGAAGAGGAAGTGCTGGTTGATGAATCAAATCTAGCCTTTTCTCTCTCTCTGCAGAAACCAAGCAATGCGGAAGAAGCTCATTTTGTACTTTAAGAGGAGAAACCACGCTCGGAAGCAGTGGGTGAGTTAAGTCCCCTCCCCACCCCTCGGCCCCTTGGCTCCTCTCCTCAGGTGATCACTGTCACGCTGGGCCCAGCCAGGAGACAGGCGCCCCCGCCCCTGCCCGCGGCCCCTGCCCGCAGATGGGGGCCTGCCAGGGCTGGAAGCCTCTGCTCTGAGGGGGTGGGGGCAGAACTAGAGAGGGAGAGGGGGGAGGGAGAGAGAGAGAGAGAGAGAGAGAGAGAGAGAGAGAGAGAGAGAGGAAGGGGAGGAGAAAGGCCAGCAGCCACGTATAGTATAAATAGGCCCCCAGTGCAGGGAGCAGAAGCAGCTGAAGGCGCCCGCTGACTGCGGGAGCTGGGCCCCGAGATGCCTTCCCCCCACTCCTCCAGCAGCATCTGAGGCAGCTACTGAATCCAGACCTGTGTGAGGGAGGGGGGGAGGAAGACTGAAAATTGGGCATTAAAGACTTTCCAGGGGGGCCGTTGTGGGCCCGTTTGGAGAGGCTGGGGAGCAGCAGAGACTCGTCTCCTGGATTTGTGTAACTTGCCAGGTTTTCCCTCAGGTTGCCTGAAAACTGACCAGGCAGGAGTGGGTTCGAGTCTTGGGTCAGGAGGGATTCCTAGGTCTGTGGGTTCAGAAGGGAAAGGTTGGAGGGGAGGCAGCTGCTTCGGTTGCAGGATTTGCTGAGTTCAGTATCTTTTCAAGAAAGTTTTGCTGATGCCTTGTGATCTATCTTTACACCTGTAACCTCCCCGCCTCTCCCCGCCCCGGCTCGGTGACTGTGTCCCACGGTGTATACAGCATTCCCTATCTGTAGCCCCTGCCTCTGCTCTGAGAGGGGAGACGCTTTCTCTCCTCCGGCGTCCCTCTTGACCTTGCCACATGCGTGTCCCCGGCCACGGTGTGCACAGTTTCCCAGGTCCTCCTCTCTTTTTGCCCTTAATCGTTTCAGGCAGATTTTCTGGTGTTTCTCTGAAGCCCTCATATCTGTCCTTTCTTCCCGCACCATGCCGGGTACCCCAGACTGCTCAGGCTGGAGACTGGTGTCAGTCGGGCTGATCCAATCTCACAGGAAGGCTGGCCTCCCTCTTGTCTGGAAACCTCACGGGGGCCTCTTCTTTCTGCCTGATTCCTTGGGGGCAGGTGTTCTCAGCTGCAGACATGGTCATTGGGTGCCAGGAGAGGTTTAAGGGATTTGCCCAGAATCACACAGATAGTACCTGAGGCAGGATTGGAACTCAGATCTCCCTGACTCCAGGTCCAGCTGGTCTTTGAGCCACTGTGCCACCTGGACACCTCTAGCACCAAAAGGATCCTTGGAAGTCATTGAATCTAACCTCCTCATTTTACAAATGGGGAAACTGAGGCTCAGAGGTTCGGTATGAGGTTTGAACCCAAGTCTTGTGACTTGAGTCCAGGACTTTGAAGTTCCTCAGGTGCTGCCTCGTGCTCACACCCACCTCCCCTCTCTCAGCTGCCCCAGGGTAACCCTTATTCCGAGTTCTTTGGAGCCCCTGATTCACAGAGTGGCAACAAGCCTGGCGATATGCCCCTGGAGACCTTAATCAGCTCTTCCTTTGCATTATCTCGTTTCATTGGGGCAGAGACGGTCATCCCTGCTGTACGGATAGGGAAACTGAGGTTCTCACCCCTAGTCACCCAGCTGGGATGCATGGCTGGAAGCCAAGCAGCCCCAAGGAGAGCCTGGGCTTGGCCTCAGGAGTCCCCTCCCCTCCCAGGCAGCCACCGGATGCTTTAGCCCAGGGCCCTGGGATGAGTGAGTGTGGCCGCCCGCCAGCCTTGGGGGAATCCCAGCTCTGATGGCGTTCATGTTTACATCACCTCCATTTCCAGACACCTCCTTCCCTCCCTCCAGAAGCTCCCGCCCTTCTAACAGAGAATTAAAAGGCGAGAGGGGAGAACCAGGTTAGCAAAGCCGCTCCTCCCAGCTTTGTGGAGTCTGTGGTCAGGGGAGGGGTCCTCGTGGAGCCCCCGGTGAGGCCTGGACCATTCATCTTCTCTGGTCGAGTCCTTGCGGGCCTTTGCCTGGTCTTGTTTGTTTCATGTGCTTTCCCAGGCTTCTTGGACTTTGTGTATTTAACGTTTCTTATGGTAAAGTAATGGTTTGTTATATTCATGTATATGTAATATTGCATTGCATTGAAGGGGGTAGGTAGCAAGCTGGGTCAGGTTCGAGGCTTGGAGGCACAAAGTTGTTGTTAAGTGATGTTCAACCCTTCGAGACTCCATTTGGCGTTTTCTTGGCAGAGACACTGGAGTGGTTTGCCCTTCCCTTCTCTAGCTCTTTTTACAGATGAGGAAACTGAGGCAAACAGGGTGAAGTGACTTGCCCAGGGTCTCACAGCTAGCAAGTGTCTGAGGCTGGATTTGAACTCATGAAGATGAGTCTTCTGTCTCCAGGCCCAGTGCTTTATCTGCTGTGCCACCTCGTTGCCCCTAAGCCACACATAGTCAGGAAGACCTGAGTTCAAATCCAACCTTCGTTTCACAGACAGGAAAACTGAGTCCCAGAGAGGGGGAAGGGTTTTTTCTCCTATTCTCTAGCTCACTCTCCCATTCTGTGGGGACCAGCCAGCCCACTGCTGATGCCTCTGGCTCCTCAGCTGTGAAGGGTGCAGTAGAGGAGCTGGCTGTTCTGTCTGGCTTTGAATCTGGGACCTGACGGGTCTCTGCACCTCACTTTTACAGAGCAGCCAGGGCTCTGGAAGTGTTCCAGGCCCCGGGCGGGAGGGTGCTGACATAAGAAGCCAGGCAGGCGCTATGGGGACACTTAATTTGGGGGGGCTTCTGAGCCACCAGATGCTAAATGAATGAGTCCTGGCAGGAAGCAATTTTACTTCAGGGTTTGGGGCTGTTTTCTCTTGTTTCCTTCCAGAGGTGGGGGGTGAGGTGTCCCCTCCATCTCCCTTGGAGGACGAAGGCTTCCGGGGAAGGGGATAGCCCGATGAACCGAGACCCCTTTCTCTCTCGTGTCTGGTGGCTTTGACTGGGAAGGTTGGAGAACCAGGGTGCAGGGGTGTGGGTGCCCCAGCCTGGGGCCCGGGGCTCACTTTTGGGGAAGAGGGGTGAGAGAAAACCAAAGATGGCAGCTCTGGGCCGTGGGGCCCAGTGGGACGAGGGGAGTCAGACTAGAATCTAGTCGCTCGATGGTCATTGCATGTTAGTGCCAGGAAGGGCCTGGTCACATGAGGACGCCGGGGTCCGGGAGGGACGAGGCACTCGTGCTGGGTCACGCAGGCCTAAACTCCCCTCGTGGACTTCTCAGCCACATCGCTCACGGCCCCGCCCCAGTCTTCATAGCTTTCTTTCCTGTCTGGTCCTCCAGTTGGGCTAAAATGTGCCTCCGGCTGCGGGGCCTTTGCCTGGCTGCCCCTGCACTGCCCTTCCTCCTCTTCTCCCCCTCAGGGTGCTGAATAAATAGTGATTGATCTATCCTGAGCCTTCTGCCCTGCTAACTGCATGCATTTGTAATGATTCTTTGGCTGTTTTGCTGTGTGCACCTGTGGTCTTCCTCATCTCATAAGAATGGAAGCTCTGTGGGATAGGGATTGTTTCATTCTTTGTCCTTGGGTCCCCAGCACCTAGCATAGTGTCTGGCAAACAGTAGGTGCTTAATAAAAGCTTGTTTATTGGCAGTGAGCACCAGAGGCAGTGGTTTTTTTCCATATAAGACTATTTTAGAGGATTTTTTTTTCTAAGTCACTGAATAGAAAATTGGCTGGGAAAACACAGGATCTGCCAACCCTTGGTAGAGAACAGTCCGGATTGGAATCCAGCTCTCCTAATTCCAAAGCCAGTGCTATGTCTCCTGTGGCACACTGCCTTGGAAGAACGCCAGTGTTAGGGAGGCCCGTTAGTTTACGGCTGGGGACACTGAGTCTGGGCTCTCCAGAGGCAGGGAAGGCCGCATATCAGCATTCCCTTCATGGCTGGGCCTTCTGTTGACTCGAGTACAGGGAGGGGACGGGCAGGAGCGGCCCTGCGATCTCTCCGCTGCGTCCGGCCCGCCCCTGGCACCCCGGGGCTCCTTGCCTGCTCCTCGATGCTGAGACGGAGGCTTCTGAGCTGGGCACCTGCAGTGTGGATGCCGGGCGGGGGTGTTGGGGCGGGGGTCACATCTCTAGAGACGGGGAGAGGAGAGAGCAGAGCCAGCTAAACATGAGCTGCGGGGGGGGGGCGGGGAGCGGCCTGGAGCCGGCTGTACTGCTTCCTGCCGCCAGCAGAGGGCAGCCGATGCCCTGGGATGCTGGCTGGTGGCCGCTCGTGCAGGGCAGGACGCCGCTGCCTTCCGCCCCAGAGCGTCGGGGATTTTGCTCCACTGGGGGAGGGGCAGGGGCAGTGCTGTTGGCTCAGAGTCTTAGGATCTTAGATTTAGAGTTTGAGGGAACCGTGGCACCCCTACCCCCACCTCATGCATTTTACAGATTAGGAAACTGAGGCAGACCGAGGTTGAGTGACTTGCCCAAAGTGCACAGGTAGCAAGTGGCTGAGGTGGGATTTGAACTCAGGTCTTCCTGATCCCAAGACAGATCCTTTGGGTGTTACATCTCCAAGCCGGTCATTAAGGCATCTTTGGCCGGGGGGGGGAGAGAGATGCAGGGGAGGGGGGGGGGGGTGTCATGGGACATCTTGGTACAGCAAAAAGAATGCTGCATTTGTAGTCAGAAGACTCGGGTTCCAATCTCGGCCTTGCTCCTTAGGATCCTAGCTCGAGAGATGGGCTGCCCAGCCCCCTTCCTTTTACAGATTGAGAAACTGAGACTGGGGTCACACAGGTAGTAAGTGTCAGAGCCTGGATTTCATAGGACCAGCAAAGGGACCTCAGAGGCTGTCCCAGCCAACCCCTCAGTGTCCGAGGAAGGAATCTGCATGGCATCTGCGCTGCCGGGCCCTGTGCCCTATTGGCCTTTCCGGGAGCCTTGACTTGGGACTGGTTATGGAAACAGCTGGCCCCTGAGGCTTGCTGTGGGTGGAACTCGTCCCGGATGAGCCTCCTGGGCTCGCCTGTCCTCCCTGCTCCTCTGCCCGCTCTCCCCAGTAAGGCCCCAGCCTCTTCCCATGAGCTCCCCTGAGCAGACACCACAAGACAGGCCCAGGGTACGGAGAAGCCGTCCCCACACCGAGTACTTCATTCCAGGGGAAACAAAAGAGGAAGTGATTCTGCTGACTGACCGTCGGCTCACTTCTCCCCTTTCTCCCAGGAACCGCTTGGCCGTGCCCGGGGATTTCCCCTGGTGTGAAACGGTGCAAATTCAGATCTGTTTAGCTTGAGCTGGAGTGCTCCCAGTGGGAGGAGTCTGGGGAGAGAGGTATGGGTTCTAGAGTAGAAGCCCCTTGAGGGCAGGGACTCTTGTGTTATGCACGTTGCGCCTCTCGTGCCAGCACATAGTGGGCACCCTGTGCTTCTCGTGCCCAGCACATAATGGGCACCCTGTGCCTCTCGTACCCAGTGCGTAGTAGGCACCCTGCGCCTCTCGTGCCCAGCATATAGTAGGCACCCTGAGGCTCTCATGCCCAGCACATAGTAGGCACTCCGTGTGTCTTGTGCCCAGCACATAGCAGGCATTTGATGGGAAGCCTGGGTCCTCCTGCTTGGAGGCTTGTGTCTTCATAGCCTCCAGAGTCTGGTTTGGAAATGGGAAGACAGTGGGATATATTTTTCAGATCACAGCATCACAAATTCAGAACTGGAAGGAACCTTTGACATTTCCCCCATTTTACCGAAGTGGAAACAATGGTGAGCTTGTTTAACCACAAAGGTGAAGTGCATTTTCTCAGGTCACACAGGTGGTACTCCACAGAGCTGAAATTCAAACCCAAGTCTTCTGGCCCCACATCCCATGTTCTTCCCAGTCATTATTCACCTTCCGTAATGGTGCTGTGGAGAGTGAGCACAGAACTGGGACTCGAAGTCAGAAGGACTTGGATTTAAATCCTGCCTCTGACATTTACTCGTCTGGAGACCCTTCATTTCTTTGTTCCTCAGTTTCCTCCTCTGTAAAATGGGGACATTAACGGCCTTCACTGGCAGGGTCCTTGCGAGGCTCCTGTGAGAATGTCGGCAGAATGTTTTGTGTTACATTAATGTCAGGCGTTATTTTTGTCCTTTGTCCATGCCATTTTGGGCAAATGGTGGAAGGAGCCAGCCCTCCTCGGTGTCCCTGCTGGTTCTCGTTTTCCAGGGTTGGGCAGCTGTGCCAACAGTCTCTCCCTCCGCTGGGTTTGAGGACCTTCACTCTGTCTCTTGAGATAAGGGGTGACTTGGGGGCAGCTTGGAGCTGAATGTTGTTTAATGTAGCACATCTGAGCCCTGAAAGGAGGGGAAAAATGGCTCAGATCCCTGGAAGTCTTGGGTAAGAGACTCCCAGAGGTCACCCTGAGTCATTCTCAGACGGACGGCCAGCTGGGGTGGGGGTACGTGGCGGCATTTCCCAGGCAGCCCTCAGGGGTCAGGAGGAAAGGGACTGGGCAGGGCTGTGGGTCTGGGGCGTCCCAGGGTGCCTCGTCTTCCGCCTTCTCCCCGAGGCCCCCCAGCTAACTGGTAAGGGGAGCGTCCAAGGGCGGCTCTGTGTACACCTGCCTTCCATCCCCTGGCTTTTTCCTCCAGGGATGCCAGGCCCAGAGACACAGGCTTCCTTCCCTCGCCCTGGCTTTGGGGGTTTTCTTTTTCTGCCCCTCTGGGTTTCAACACTTTCGTTCCTCTTCCTCTCTGGGCCAGTGGCGCCACCCCCGAGGGAAAGTCCCAAGAACCAGGAACCGCAGCGTTTTCAGAGGAAGAGAGAGTGTCCTGTTAAATTGGGTTAGTCACTGATCTGCTGAGCGATGCCCGAGGAGCCTCGTCTGGGTCTCGTGGACTGGGCAGCATACATCTCTTTCTCATGCAGATTTGGTCTGGTGTCAGGCCGGGGTCTCCAAGAGGCACGTGCCCCACCCTCCAAGGCTTGCTTAGCTATTTGTCTCCCTTGTCAAACTGGGGGCTTCCCCATCTCATCAGACCGGGTCTTCTTGGGGCTGGAGACCTGAGGCCCTTCTCATCTCCCACCAGACTAGAGGCTCCTGGGGAGGCAGAAACACTCCGAGTGTGACTCTGGCATTTTCTCTGCTCCTGGGCTAGTCCCTCCCCCTGTCTAAGCCTCAGTCTCCCTATCTGTAAGATGTGAATGGTAATGCTTGAAATACCTACTTCCCAGGGCTGTGGTGAGGATCAGATGGGAGCCTGTGTTGGGAGCGCTTTGTAAACCCTAAATCATTATGTAGACAACAGCCAACCCCACCCCCCACCCCTCAAGAACGCATAGTCCACGGTTCTTTCTAAGGCAGACAGTAGGTGCCTACTGATGAAATCCTCTTCCTGCTCCCCAGCGGTACACAAGACTTTCTCTTCTTCTTCTTCTTTTGCTTCTTCTTCTTCCTCCTTCTTCTTCTGCTTCGTCTTCTTCCTTCTTCTTCTTCTGTTGGGGTCAAGTGACTTGCCCAGGGTCACACAGCTAGTAAGTGTCAAGTGTCTGGGGTTGGATTTGAACTCGGGTCCTCCTGACTGTAAGGTCAGAGTTCTATCCATTGCACTGCCTAGCTGCCCCAGCTTTCTCTTCTTGTCTTAGGATCCCCCCTGCCCTAAATGCAGGAATGTGTGTAGGGAATTGGAGTGAATTGTGGGGCAGCTGACCCAGTCAGTATTGGGCCCCTGCTCTGTGGCATGGGAGAAGGGCCTTGAATTTGGAGCCAGAAGGTCCCAAGTCAGATCCCACCCTGGACCCCTTTCAGTACGTTGTTTAACATTCCCGGGCCTCAGTTTCCTCATCTGTAAAAGGAGGGCATTGGACCAGTAGCTAGTCAGCAGGGCCACGCGGACAAAGACGGCATACCCTGACTACCTCCGCTTGTTTTAATTGCAGGTGGGGAGGGTAGGGGGGCATAGGCGGGGAAGAGACAGATATTCCCCTGAAAATAAAATAAAATTTAGCTTGAAAACGAAAATGAAGCAGTGCCCCTGAGTTTTATGGCCTCTCTTCCTCCTCTGTAAAATGGGGAGGTTGGACCACATAGCCTCGGGGCCCTTTGAACCCAGATCCATGAACATGACTCTCCCAAGTCAACAAGCATTTATTAAGCACCCACTGTCAGTCTGCACCTGTGCTAGGCTCTGAGGATACAAAAACAGACAGAAGGGAGCCTGTGTTCTCAAGAAGCTCACGGCCTGCCGGAGGGGAGAGAGCGCGCAAGCCACTGTGGACAGAGCAGACAGAGGCTGTGCACATTGGGGATGATCTGGGGAGGGCACAGCTCCCTATCGATCCCCCCGCCCTAAGAAAGAATGAAAAAGCTTGTGTTGGGCACTTCCTCTGGCTCAGCGGTGTGCTCAGGCTCCCCCAATTCCACCTTCAGGATTTAGGAGTTGCTTTAATGACCTCTGTTGGGCCACTTAAGCTGGAGGAGTAGGGGGCTTCCCCTCCTCGGAGGTCTTCCGGTGGAGGCGGGCTGGTGGGCTGGCGTGTCCTAGAGGGGACTGGTGTCTTCGGATGCAGGAGGAGGTCCCTTCTGGCTCCGTATAAAGCAGAGCCTTTATATATGGCATGGCTGGATGAGCTTGGCTTCCCAGCAGTGAGGGGAACCCGGGTAGTCACCCCAGCTTGGTAGGACCCTGGTGACACAGTCGCCTTCTTGTATGTTGGTCGGGGTGGGGGGGGGGGAGGCATCACACAGGCATGGAGTTATCTAACCCCAGGCTGGACCTGGGCAGGAAAGGCTCTGTCCTCTCTGTCCCCATCTCTGCTGGGCTGGCCTTGGGAGCCAGACTTTCCCTGGAAGGTGGAGGGTCCCTTGACGTCCCCAGCAGGCCTGGGAAGTGGGAGTTGGCACGTTTGGGAATCTGTGTGCGAGGCAAGGACCTCCCAGATGTGCTTAGCTTGGTGAGGAAACCTCTCTGGGGTGTGGGAGAAAGCGGGCTGAGCGATGGAATAAGGCCTGTGGAGGGGGTTGGCCAGAGGCCACAATGGGGAGGGGGACAGGCGATAGCCAGCATTTCTGTAGCACTTGAGGTTTTCAAAAGCACTTTGTGTTCAATATCTCCTCTGAACCTCACAGACAGGCCAGCGCTCCCTATCCTGTCACTGCTATTTCACAGAGATGTCATAGGAGAAATGAATTGTATGGGCATGAACGTGTGTGTGTGTGTGTGTGTGTGTGTCTGTGTGTGTGTGTGTGCGCGCGTGCACGTATGTGTGGTGTGTGTGTGTGGGGGGGCTATTCCAGAGGGTAGCTGGGGCTACTACTGGCGAGGGCAGGGGGCTGGACACCTGGGCCCAGGACTACTTGCTCAGAAGCCCCCCCCCACCCTCTCTCTTGGCCCCGGCCCTTTCAGGAACAGAAGTTTTGCCAGCGCTATGACCAGCTGATGGAAGCCTGGGAGAAGAAGGTAGAGCGCATTGAGAACAACCCGCGTCGGCGCGCCAAGGAGAGCAAGGTGCGGGAGTATTATGAGAAGCAGTTCCCAGAGATCCGGAAGCAGCGGGAGCTCCAGGAGCGGATGCAGAGGTGAGCTGAGAGGGGGCCTGGTGAGGCTGGGGGTTTTGGGTGCGTGGGCCAGTTCCTGGGAGGTGGAGAGATGGCATGGAGAACCCTGCCTTGTGTTCATTCGTTCCCCACTGATCGCGTCTCCAGCGGTCCCTGAGCTTCGCTTGCTGCTCAGGGGCTGGGCCTGGTCTTGGGAACCTTCCTCTGCTTCCCGGACCAGCTCAGTAAGCACGAGGCTCCTGCTGGGCTCAGAGGACTAGAAGAAACCTTGGGGCCCTTCTCTTCGTACGGTCTCCTCATTTCACCCAGGAGGGAAACTGAGGCACAGGGGAGTTAAGTCAGTGCCCGAGGCCAGCTTCACTCCTAGGGTCTTTGTGACTCTGAAGTTCCAGCGCTGTCTCCAGCCTTCTCCTTTTAGTGATAAGGAAACTGAAGCTCAGATGGGGGGAGGCCTCTTAGGTCGAGAGGAAGCAGCATCTGCTTGACCTTGCTGGGCCTCAGTTTCTCCACCTGTCAGAGGGTGATCATGATGCCCACCCTGCCTCTTTTTGGGTCATGGTGGAAATAGAAAAGGAAAGCTTAGAATCAGGAAGTCCTGCCCATGATATAGAAGCTTCCTTAGTCAGTCCAGAGGGTCCAATCGTTTACCCAGATGGGAGCACCGTCATTGAGCAAATATCACCTGCTGTTCTTGTGGAAAGATGGAGAGGTGTGGGCCTGGCCATCGTCCCTTTAGATGGATTGGCAATTGGTTAATTGGCCTCACTTGTTAGTGGTTTCTTGTTAGATGGGATGGAGGTCTGCAGCGGAGTGCCTTAGGGATCTGTGCTTGGCCCCATGCTATTTAACAGTTTTTAAAATTGATGATATGCATAGAGCCCTAGATGGTAGGTCTATCAAAATCGCTGGTGATGTAAAGCTGGGGTGTGGGGATGGCCAGCATGGTTGGTGTCCGTCAGGATCTCAAGAGGCTATTGAGATTTTGGACTCAATGTAATAAAATGAAATTCAGGAAAGAGAAATGGAAAGTTTTCCACGTAGGTGTGCGTGCGCGCGCGCGCACACACACACACACACACACAGAGTATCAGTTTCACAAGGACAAGATGGGGGAGGTCTGCTTAGATGATTGTCTGAAAAAGATCTGGGGGTCTTAGTGGACTTTGAACTCAGTAAGAGTTAGCAGTGCAATGTTGCAGCCCAAACCACTAGTGCCGCTTTGGGTGACCTTCTGAGAGGCCTCAGAGCTCCCAGGGATGAGGAGGAAATGGATGGTCCTGCTGGCTTCTGTTGTGGTCAGATGACATCCAGAGCATCACACTTAATTCTGGGCATCACTGTACAGGAAGGGCAATAATTAGTTGGAGGGGCTTGGGATGGTCAGGGGCATTGATGCTCTGTGAGAACCAGTTGAAGGAACTGCGGGTTTTAGTCCTGGAGAAGAGAAGGCTCTGTGGGAGGAACATGCTAGCTACCTGGTCAGGTGGTAGGCAGGTATCCTGGCCTTGCTTTGAGTAAAGAAATGTTACCAAGAGGGGACTGTAGGCCTGAAGTCAGGCCAGTTCAGGTTATCCACAAGGGGAGGGGCTGCCTGTTCAGTTGGTTCCCTGGCCCATCCTTTGCCTTGACCGTGGCTTTGGAAAACTGCATCCTCTCCAGGTTACCCCCCCTCCCTCTCTGGTCACAGCCACCCTTCCCCCTGGAGGAAGTTGTGGGTCTTCTGCAGCCACCATGCAGACAGGAGGGTGATTCCCATTGTGGGGAAAACGTCTGTTCCTCAGTGTGTCCCTGTACACTTTCCCAGCAGGGTAGGACAGAGGGGCAGTGGCCTGTCCATGTCTGCGGCCCGGAGTGAGCACGAAGTGTCAGAAATCATCGATGGGCTCTCAGAACAAGAGGTGAGACGCGGCCTCGGTCTGTCCTCTCTCCCCTTTCCTGTCTTATTGCAGCTACTGTCGTCTTGAGTTCAGGGCCCAGCATGGGAAAATGCTGCTTTGTTGGCTGATCCTCCTGGGGGTTGGGGAAGGCGGCGTCTGCAAGGCTCCTCGAGACAGCCCTTCCCCATAGAAAAGCTCTTTGTGAGAAAGATGCAGGAAAACCCAGGCGCTTTCTCTGTCCCCAGCTCTTTGTCCATCATCCTTGGCTCTGAGCCTGTGGGACCGGGGCCTTCAGGGAAGGGGAACATTCATGAGACACCTACTGTGGGCGAGGCACGGTTCTAGGCGCTGCGGCTATGCAGACAAAAATGAAACCATCGCCACCCTCCAGGAGCAATCACATTCTCCCAGAGCAGGTGTTACTGTAGGGCTGAGGGTCCCCCAAGGGGTCCGTGAACTTGGATGGGAGACCTCTATTTCAGAATAATTGTTTTCCTTTGTAATCCTAAGTATTTAATTTGTGTACACGTGATGATGATGATGATGATGATGGTGATGATAATAATAGAAAAGAACATTTACATAGTACCTTAAAAACACGATCAGAGGAGCATCTCGGTGGCGCAGTGGATAGAGCACCGGCCCTGGACTCAGGAGGACCTAAATTCAAATCGGGCCTCAGACACATGACACTTAATAGCTCTGTGACCCTGGGCGAGTCATTTAGCCCCAATGCCGAGCCAAAAACAAAAAACAAAAAAACAAAAAAAAAAAAGACCCCATGATTCAGAGAAACCATCAGCAGATTGCCAAAGGGGTCCAGGTCACTCTAATAAGATCCCCTACTATGTGCCAGGCACTGCACTAAACCTCCAGGTTACAAAAGCAAAAACAGCTCCCGCCCTTAGGAGGCTTCCATTCTATCAGAGGAGATAATTAGCTATAAAGGCATCAGCGCTTTCTGCTGTGGTCACAAGCACCTGGGCACAGCAGGTCTGGAAGGAAGCTCAGGGAGTGGAGTGGGGGCAATGCAGGGGGTTCTGGGATGGGAGACGGGGCCAGGACGGGGCCGGAGTGGGACCCGGCCTCCCAAACAGTGCTGCCGTTGGGTTTGGGGGTGGCAGAGCATACGGTCCCCATGGCCCCACCTCGCGGTGTCCAGAGCCTGAGCCTGGGGGGTCAGCGGGCAGGGGCGCTCCAGGCCAGCCTGGCTCCTGGGGGCTGCTTTATAGCCCTGGGCTTTCCAGATGGAAGATTGATCGTCTCCCTCCTGACAGAGATAAGGCAGCAGCTTCTTTCCCCCTTAATTTATGAGCCCGCCCACAGTAAACCTGTCTGGGGTGGGCCCCTAAATCCTCAGCCTGGCACAGCCAGCCGGCGTTTTAGTGTTACCGTTCTCCTGCTCTGGGGGCTTTTCCCTTCCCACCTGAACATCTGCATCCCCTGCGACTCCCTGGGTCTCTGCTGCTCACTTGGGTGCTCTGGCGTTGCTCGGCCCTCCCTCTCCATCCCTTCCCTGTCCCTGTCTCTGTGTCTCTGTCTCCACCTCCTGTGTTTCTGTCTTCACCTCCTTTCTTCCCTCCCTCCTCTCCCCCCCTCTCCCCTCCTCTCCCCTCCCCCTCTCCCTCTCTGTCTGGGTCTCTCTGTCCCTGGCCAGCCTTCTCGGTGCGCCTCCGCCCCCGCAGCTCCCTCCTCGGTCTGCCCCTCCCTCTCTGAGCCTGCTCCTCTCTCCGCCCCCCAGAATCTGGAGAAGCAGATGCGCCAGCTGGCTGTGATCCCCCCGATGCTGTACGACGCTGACCAGCAGCGCATCAAGTTCATCAACATGAACGGCCTCATGGATGACCCCATGAAGGTCTACAAGGACCGGCAGGTGATGAACATGTGGAGCGAGCAGGAGAAGGACACCTTCCGGGAGAAGTGAGTGTGGTGGCGGTGGCGCAGGCAACGCCTGGGGCGGCCACTGTAAAGTTTGTACAGTAGCCCTGGGGGGAGGTGCCCTGTTACTCCATTTCACAAAGGGGCAGACTGAGGCAGACAGAGGCAGAGCAGCTAGGGCTTGTCTGAGGTGGGATTTGAACTCGGGTCTTCCTGCCTCCCGGGCCTCGGGGTTCTGACGTGATTGGATGAGGGGCAGGAGCCCTTGGGGGAGGAGCGGGTGAATCAGCGTTTGGGGGAGGTTGTCTGGCAACGGGAATCCCCAAGTCAGGAAAGCCCCTCTCCCAGAGCGGGTGGCCGTTCTCTGCCAGTGATGGTCCCGAGGGCCCCTTTCCTTCCTAGCCTGGGTTTGGAGGCATGAGACCTGGATTCAAATTCTGACTTCTGTGTGACCTTGGCAAGCCCCGTCACTTCTCTGGGCCATCCAGAAAATGGGAAGGCATGGTACTGGGGAAAGAGCACCAAGCCTGGAGTCATAGAACCTGTGCTCAAATCCTGAATGGCTCTAGCTGTGTGACTTTGGACCCTCTGTGAGCCTCAGTTTCCTCCTCTGTAAAATGGCCTCTAAGGGTGCTAAGATCCTGAACCCAGCAGCCGTGACTGAATGGGACGGTGTTTTTTCATGCCTTTGTACCCCGGGCTCAACGCCGTGTCTAGCACATAGAAGGGGCTTCATATGTGCTTGTGGGCTCACGCCCTGGGTGAGCGCATTACAGGAGATCTGCTGAGTGCCCTCCGATCCTCCTGCTGGACTCCCCAGCCTTCGTACTCATTTTTGGCTCGAAGTTTAGGTCAGTCCAAGTTGAGGCATTGAATGCCAGGTGGAGCCAGAATTGGAGTGAAGCGTGTGGAGGCTTAGCTTTGGCCGGGTGTATGGGGGCGAGGCTGTTGGAAGTCAGAGAGCCCGCGGGCCAGCCACGGGACCCTTCCAGCCAGCTTCTCTGTGAGACTCTGGGGTCCTCCTTCCCCTGGGGCCTTCTGCCCTATCTCTCGGTGGCTGGCCACCGTCCCCTCCAAGCCAGCTCCAGGGTCTCAGTGTCTCAGCTGAAGCCAGAGTTAAAGTGCAGAGGGAGGGGACATAAGCGGGAGACCGAGGGCTTCTCTGGGAGCTCCCAGGCTGAGGCCCCCTGGGTGGGGGACAGGTGGGGGTCTTCTGAGGAATATTTTGGTTTTACTCCTTCCCCCCACACCTTCCTCATTCTCCTCAGAAAAGCTCCGCTGACATTTTCTGGGTTTTTCTCGTCAGCCATCATGGTTTCATCTAGTGCAGTGTAGTATAGCAGCACGTCAGCCAACAAACATTTATTAAACCCCTACTGTGTGCCAGGCACAGTGCTAAGCACTGGGGATCAAACAAAGGCAAAAGATGGTCCCTGCCCTTAGGGAGCTTCCCGTCCAAGGCTTTGGGGAAAGAAGGAGCTCCGTTTCGGACGTTGCTGCATTTAAGATGTCTACTAGGCACCCAGTTCAGGCAGCTGTGGGGGATGTGAGACTGGAGGTCACGAAAGAGGTTAGGGTTGGACAGCATGGAGGAGAATCGGAACCTCGGGGGCTGATGAGGTCACCCAGGAAATGTTTAGAGAGAGAGAAGGAAACACGGCTCAGGCCTGCAGCAGGAGGGACCTGGCCGGTGGAGAAGAGGGGGGCCCAGAGGCCAAGGAGGGGACGTGGCACAGGGCAGTGAAAGCACCATCAGCTGTGCTAGAGAACAGTTTAGTTTGGGTGACGTTGGAAGCCAGGCTGCAAAGAGTTAAGCCAAAGAAGGGAAGTGTGGGCACCAGTGTAGATGGCTTTCTCTAGGAGTTTAACGAGTGATGAGGGATGGAAGTGGGGTAGAAGGTGGGGCTCTGAGGGGAATGGGGGAGACGCAGGCATGCTTGTAGGCAGCAGAGAAGGGCCAGCAGGCAGGGAGACACTGAAGGCTGGTGAGCGTGGGGATGCCAGAGGGGGCTGGTGAGGGGAGAAGATGGCTGCACAGGGGGTCCCTTGGGCCTTGTCCAGGAGAAGGGGGAGAAGAAGCAGCTGGGTGGTGGGGGAGGCGTGGGGGGGGGGGATGAAAGGCCTTGGAGGAGCCCTGTGGGGAGTGGGCTGGTGAATTAAGGAGGGAGGTGTGAAAGGATTATTACCTCACCTAGTAAATAGAGGGTAAAAGATAGAAAACTGGAAATCAAGTCTGGGAGACCTGGATTCAAATCCTGCCCTTGGCCTTTCCTGCCTGCGTGACCTTGGGCCAAGTCACTCTGCGTCTCTGGGACGTGCGCCCGCCCTCCCCTGCTTCCCACATTGTGGCAGATAGTGGGGAGGAGAGGATGGGCGCACTCTGCCAGCCCCGCAGCGCCCCACGTGCCAGCCATCACCGTGCCCCCAGCAGCCCCGTGCCCCGTAATGCAGCCGTATTTCACTCACCCGCTCCTGCAGATTTCCGTTAAAAACAAACAAAGGTTTGTTTCCACGGTTCCAGATTTCCTTCCTTCATTCACTAAACACTGAGCGAGGCCTCACTCTGAGCAAAGCCCTGTAGACCTGTCTGGACGTGATATCGACCAGTCAGGGCGCGTCACCGCACTTCCCACAAATACGATATCCCTGGAAGTTCAAACGCGGCCTGCGGGAGGGTGGTGGCAGAAGTAGTGAGGAAAGTAATAAAAGCGCTGACATTCGTCTGGCGCTCTTATTAGCTGCTGAGCCTCAGAGAGGGCAAGTGATCTGCCCAAGGTCACACAGTCGGGAGAGAGGCGGGGCTCCCCGTCCGGCGTCCCTGGAGCTGGAAGGAACCTCAGGGGGCCATTGAGGCCAACCTCCTCATTTGGTGGACGGGGAAACTGAGTCAGGTGCCTTGCCCAAAGTCATTCAAGTCTTCTAGGGGTGGGATTTGAACCTGGGTCCTCTGACTCATCCAGCACGTCGTGGGGCCTCCCTGGGGTGTGTTTGTGTGCACGATCAGGCTGTGGGAGGGGACATCTGGCCTTGGTCACAAGCATCAAGGATGAGAGGAGGGTGGCTTCTTATTCCTGACTTCAGTCAGTCAGTAGACATTAAGCCCCTACTGTGTGCCAGGCACTAGGGTCTGGGATACAAGTGCAAAAAAAAAAGAAATGATCCTTATCGTGAAGGAACTGAGCATTCATCCATTCACTATGAATTTATTAAGCACCCACTATGTGCCAGGCACTAAGTGCTGGGGATACAAGTGTAAAGAAGGAAACCATCCTTATCCTGAAGGAACTTAACATTCATTCATTCAGCATGCATTTATTAAGCACCTACTGTGTGCCAAGCACTGAGTACTGGGGATACAAGTGTAGAGAAGGAAACCATCCTTATCCTGAAGGAACTTAACATTCATCCATTCAGTACACATTAAGCACCTACTGTGTGCCAGGCACATCTCTGGGCATACAAGTGCAAAGGATGAAACCATCCTTACCTTTGAAGGGGCTTACATTCATTCAGTACACATTTATTAAGCACCCACTATGTGCCAGTGCTATGCCAAGCAGGTGCCTTACCTAAGTTATTGACAGCACAGATAGAACATGAATATATGCAACTGCATGCAAGGTAATTCAGTCCAAGCTGGTTTGGGACGAATGAGCATGAGCAGTCAGAGGAATCAGGAAAGGGGGTGACTTGGTCATGAAGGGTTGAGTTGGGGTAGGAAACCATGGTACCCTGTCCTTATCTCGTGCTCCTTCGGTGAGGAGGTGTGTGTGGCCACATATCCTTCTCCTGGGAGAGGGCCAGGAACTTGAGATGATTCCTGCTGCCTTCCGGGCAGACTGGCCGCCCCACTAAGCTTCCTACCCTGGCTTTGGCAAAGTCCCTTGCAAGGAGGTAGGCCGGATAGCCTCAGGCTGGCTGTGGTGGGAAATGCCTGGGGCAGGTGCTCAGCCTTGAGTGAGAGAATGGGAGAGAGGGCAGAGAAAGGAGGAAAGGGAGAAGACAAAAGGAAGGAGGGAGGGAGGAAATGGAGGGAGGGGGAGAGAGAAAGAGGAAGAGAGAAAGAGGAGGAGGGGGGGAGAGAGAGAAAGAGGGAGAGAGGAGAGAGAAGAGAGAGGGAGAGAGAGAGAATGAGGGAGAGAGAGAGGAGAGAGAAAAGAGAGGGAGAGAGAGGAGAGAGAAAAGAGAGGGAGAGAGAGAGAATGAGGGGGAGAGAGAGGAGAGAGAAGAGAGAGGGAGAGAGAGAGAGAGAGAAGGAGGAGAAAAGAGCGAGAAGTAGGAGTGGAGGAGAGAGGGCGTGAAGAAGCCAGGAGGGGCCAGAGACAGAGCTGGTCAGGTAAGGGAGCCTGGAAAGGGCAGGGAGACTAAGAGGGAGCGAGGACGGCTGAGGCTGGCTCCTGCCCGCGTGCACCAGCCAGTCTGGTGGGGTTCAGGTGCATCCTGTGTCCCTCCAGCCGAGCCTGGATCGGGGGAGGACCAGAGCCAGAACCGGATCGTCACTCAGAAGATTTGGGAGATGATGGGGCAGCATTGGGGCTTCTAGCTGCACGAATGTTGAGCATAATTCCCTTAGTGGGGTCATGGGTGGGAGCTAGAGGAGCCCGGGGAAGCCCCTAGTCCAGCCTCCGTAGGTCAGTGAGCATTTATTAAGGACCTGGTCATGTGAGAGGCAGGATGGCCAAGTGGAGTGTGCCCTGCCTGCCACATACTACTGGCTGTGAGACCCTGGGTAAGTTGCTGAACCTCCCAGTGCCCTAGGCTATGACTCTTAAATTGCAGAAAAGTTGGGGGATCTTCTCTCCAAGTAGAGGGGAGAGTTTTCTTTTCCATCCCCCTGACCATGGACCATGTGGAGCTGGGGCAGTCCTTGGTCTTAGAAAGCTTGGTGTGCACGGGGGGGTGGGGAGAGGAACGTGGTGGATGAGGTCTGTGTGTAAATAGAATAGTGGTGTCATTCTGGGATCAGGGTCATGTCCAGCTGGGAGAATCAGGAAAGGCTCCGTGGATACTGGGGGCACCTCTCCCTGGCCCCTCCAAGCTCCAGTTTCCTACGGGATGCAAGAGGGGCAGAGGTAGAGAGGGCACAGGCCGGACAGTGCCCCAGCCCCTCTCAGGGCCTACTCCCTGGGCACTGTGTCCTCTGCACACAGCACAGATCCCACCTCCAGAGAGACTCTGGCTGTTGCTTCTCATTCAGGCCCCAGGAATCAGGGCCTTCCCCTCTTGATCCTTCTGTGGCCCCGCCCCAGCCGGGTCGGGTGCCTCTGTGGGGGGGAGGGGCGGGGTTGACCTCCCTCCCCCCTTTCCCCAAGCTTCCCCAGACCAACAACAGCAGCAGAAAAAAAGTGCAAAAGGGGAAAGAACAGATCGGCTACAAAAACAAGTCCCCCATCTTTCCTGGAAGCTGTTTCAGCAGGACAAACAAATACCATTTTTTCAAACCAGCTGAAGAGGCCGTGAGTCACTGGGAGGAGCACCCTTTCTTGCTGGCCCCCGCCCCCCGCCTGCCCCAGCCACACCCAACCCCCCCGAGCCCCGAAGGCCGCCAGAGTGGGGTGGCCGGTCTGGCCACCCCCTCCCCTCACTCACCCCTCTCCTCTTCTCTCCTAGGTTCATGCAGCACCCCAAGAATTTCGGCCTCATCGCTTCGTTCCTCGAGAGAAAGGTGAGGAGCCCCTGCTCAGCACCTCTGGCCCCGTCAGCTGTGCCCGCCCACGGCTTGACCTGGAAAAGATGGGGTTCTCGGGAGAGGCCGCCCCTGGTCCCCACCGCCCCTCCTTAGGATGACTTCCATTCCTTTCTTGCCCCACCCAGGGCCCCAACTGCCAGCCACTGGGAGAGATACCTGGCATTTCTAGCCTGTTCCACAGGTGCCAATTGCAGGGGATCTCACTTGACCCTCACCACGAACACTGTAGAGCTGGGATTTTACTATCCCATTGCTACAGAGGAGGACACTGAGGCAGAAAGTCATTCAGTGACTTGTCCAGGGTCACACACCTAAGTGCTGGGGCAGGATTTGAATTCTAGGTCCAACACTCTTTATGTCCTGCTGCCCCCTGGCTGCCTCTGTCATATGCAAACCCCTGGGGACACAAGGGGACAGCCTTGATTCCTGAGCCCCCAAGGGAGCTCCCCAGCATCCCTTCTGAGGCAGGGAGGCTTGGTCACCTCCCCCAGACCAGAGCCGGGGCTCCTGTTGTGAGCTTGGGCAAGGGGGCCGCGGGCCTAGAGAGCCCTGCACCAGAGGGGAGGAAACCAGCGGGCCTAGACCAAGCCCCTCCTCCAGGCTGCCTTGGCAGAGCTGTGTGCCAGAGCGTGCACAGCACGCATTCACCCAGACACCCACCCACCACCCACGCAGACGCACATATACACCACACACGCGCACACACACGTACACAACACGCATTCACCCAGACCCCCACTCACCACACTCGCAGATGCACATATACACCACACGCGCGCACACACATGTACACAACATGCATTCATGCAGACGCACATATACACCACACGCACACACACGTCCACAACGCGCATTCACCCAGACACCCACTTACC